CGCGCCCCCCCCCCCCTGCCATCAACTTTTACAACTTGCTAATTTTACGCAGCGCCCTGAAGAGCAAATAACCGGCAGGCAGGAACGCGGGCTCCTTCGGCGAGGCCACACGCTCCGCAGAGCCGCCCCGGGCCCGGCCAGGGACACCACGACCGGCCACCTCCAACGAGGGACTCGATCTGGGGCAGAGGGACCCAACCCAGCGGGGAGGGATCCCAGGGGCTCCTGCAAAACCTTATCCCGCCCCAGCAAGTAGCAGGCAGGCGGCTCCGGAGAAGGGTTTACTTGGAGCGTGGGCCGCCGCTCTCATCCTAGTGTTCTCTGTGTGAGGGGGAGACACGAGCACATCCCGACAGCTGGATTCAGAAGGGGAAAAGGACATGAGAAGCTTGAGTCATAGCACGGAGAGATCCCATCCCAGAGTTGGAGATGGGAAAGGGATAGGAATTAGAGCCGCAGCCAAGCTAAAGCAGGATCCAGCACGGAGATAACACTGTTTTTGCCACATCGATTTAAACAGGGCTTGGTTGGAGTAGCTGATTTATGCTTAAAGCAAGTTAGCTCCAAACGATTTAAACCACGAAGTGTCTACCCAGCCCAGCTGAAACATTTCTATTGACTGCATTAAAACATTTACTGAGGCCATGGCTAAATGCCTCCAAATGCCCCATGCCTCCTTTTCCACCCCTCGGGAGCTGGCACAGAGCAGCAAAGGGGAGAACAGCAAGTTGCAGGAAGAGAGCGAAGGGAAGAGCTCGGTTTGGTGTCATCCCTGAAGGGTTTTAGTGCCACCAGCTCATGCAAAAAGAGCAACGGTGGCTGCAACGCAGCCCCACGCTGGACATTTCTGGTTGTGACACATCTTGGTCACAACCAAGACCCTCTTGGTCTTGAGGGACACGGAGCCAGCCCAGAGGAGCCTGCGACCGGAGCGGGCTCCGCGGATGGGGAAAGGCTGCACCGCATCCGTATCCGACGCTCCACCACAGCAGAGTGGGGTGCATGGCAACGTGCCCAGGGACGACAGAGAAGCTCAGAAGCACCATTCCCATCGCTCTTCCCCGTAACCATTGCTGGAGAACCTATTTATGTGAAAAATAGGAGCTCCTCGAAGAGAGAGCGCAGGCAGTATCTTGGCCAAACGTGTCTCCTGGTGCACTGAGCCTTGCAGAGAGGCACAGCTCCAGCCCTGCGCTCTCCATGGACTCGGCCGAGTCAACGGAGCAGATGTGCTCACAGTCTGCCAAACACTTCCATCTTTCCAACCCCGGATACGTAGCTCGGCTACAGTTTTGACTGGCCTCTAAAGCTGGAAGGCAGGATGGAAGGGGCCCGGCTGTCTGCCACCACCAGGGTCTGCCACAGCAACACAGAGGAGAGGCGCACATGACACGTAGGTGCAGAGCCGGGGACAAGGCAGGTCCTAGCCAAGGAACCCAATTTTCACTCTCAGACATCAGATACACTCAGGGGAAGCCCAGGGCAGCCTACACCCACTCTTACCTTGCAGGTCATCAACCCGCACTCAAGATACTGGTGCTTGGTGCTGTTCACAGCCATAGGACACCAAGACAAGATACATCCACGATGCTGAGGGAGCTGCGAGCGCTTCTGGGGATTTGGGTCTGTTCTTGACAACCCCTGCCCAGGGGTGGGGATCCCTGCACAGACACATCAAGCAGTGACAACCTTCCCCAGAGCTGCCAAGGGCCAGTTTTCTCACGCTGGCTGGTGCCTAGCGGTTGTGGGACAGGAATACAGAGCGAATTCTTACCAATTTCGGCCAGAAGAAACCTAAAACTCTTCATGGAAAGCCTACATTGCCATTGGTCCCAGTTTACACCCCTTAGTGTCATAGCACAGCCCGGCACTGCCCTAGGGAACATATCAGAGTTCCTCCAGATCCTCAACACAAGCAGCTCCTCTCAAATCCTCCCTTCCTTGGTCACGACTTACCAGGGGACAGGAAAGTTGCTTGTCCATCCCA